TCTCTTCACAGTTGATTTGATAAATATGATCATCATTGCAAGGCCTATAAAAGAATGAATGTCTAACCATATTAAAGCTCTCTTGAATATAATTGGTTGAACAACTAGGAATCGCCTGAAAAATTTGATCATCATTACTTAAAGTCATCGGTTGCATAATACTATTTTCGCTATTCATAACTTCAGATGTCACGTGAGAAAAAATATCATTATGATTTTGTATAGCATTGACACTTGGAGCGATAGGATCGTTATCAATATGTGAATTAATCGTAAAGTTAGGTTGACTATTGCTTTCCATTTTCAGTTGATTTAGATCCAAATGTTAAAATATTTATATTTGTGAATTTATTGTTCAAAAATATTCAAAGTATATATCAATAAGCGAATTGGATAATTAACGCGTGAAAAAGTTTTAATATGACACAATAATTTGAGAATCAAAATAAATATATGTAAATCTAATTTGTATCGAAGAAACAAGTTTATTTGTATTGCTTATAGTGAGAAATTTATGGATCTATAAAAGAATTTTTTTTAAAAAAATTTTCATGTATGAATATTTTTAAATGAGAAAAAAAAGGATGTTATATTTATTGTGAGAAAAAAAAATAATAGAACTATAATTTTTGTATAATTTTTTTTCTTGAAATTAGAAACAAGCATGTATCAATTTATTTATAAAAAAAATTATTTTGTTTTGATACTCAAACGATGCACTGTCTTTGCTATAAAAGGAAAATTTTTAATCAGAAAGGTGGTGAAAGATCTTTAACTCCAACGATGATCACGCCAAATATCTGCTATAAAAGGAAAATGTTTTACTCGGAGATAAATGACCCATAAAATTTCTTTTTAAATTATATTGTGTGTATAAAAAAAAAATTGGATCTCAAGAGATAATGGATCGACGATAATATGGGGCCTTTGCAATAGAAAGGGGGGGAAAATCAAATGTGAGTTAATGCTAAAGTTGAACATATTTCAGCATAAAAATCATATTTGGCATATAAAGTAAAATTAATTTTTCCTAGCAGTTTCCCCCCTTTCTATTGCAAAGGCCCCATATGTTTAACCGATTTTGGATTACATGATGTTGTTATATTTTTATGCAATCCTCGAGAATTATTCTCGTGTTACCAAAATCTTTTCCAGTTTAATGGTTATCATTATTTTTTTAAATAAAATTTATGGTCATGTTTTAAGATATCTCTCCGTGCTTTCTATCGCCCAATATTTAACATTTTCATTTTTAACATTCATTTATATAGGACAGTGATCATCGAACGAATAACCGCTTGCAGTTTATTCAAACCATGATTTTTATACGGAAAAATCTGTCTTTTGTATAAATTTTTTGGAGTTAGGAGTTATTTTCGAACGATAAGTTAAGCCATTAAATTGTTCAATTTCTAGAAAATTTTTATCATCTTATCCAGAATATCTTTACGGGAAATAATTAGTATTATATTAAAGGGAATATGAAGGCATTTTTTATTTTTTACAATATACTAACAAAAAAGCTTTAATTTGTTAATTTTTTAATTTTTTGATATTCGAAAACGATAAAGCTAGCGAATGTTTTCGAAATAATATGTTTATTAATAATTTAGTATTTTAAATGAAATCATGCATGTCGTAATATTAATTGAAAGTAATACTCAACAACAATACTCGAAAGGAAAAGGTTTTTTTTAGCCCATATTATAGCTACTAATAATATTTGCAGACTCATAGAATGTATAATCAAATAATCATTAATGATCAATTTTTTAATTTCTTATTGGACTAATTTTAGGTTTTTTTACCATTATACAAGCACAAAATCTATTTATATCTATGAAGCATTTTTTTAAATAATTTCGCGCTCAATAATTGTAGGGATGTTGCAAAAAAAAATTTTAAGCACGTTTTTTTTTATTTGCAAACGTAAAACATATTAAATTTATTTATATTAGAAATGATTCTTCCGAAGTTTGTAAGATAAATGACAAAAGTAGGAACCCTACGTTTTTGATTTGGGATTTTAATATATAGTAGGTTTGCTATTAAAAATTAAAATCATATAAACAATCCTTAAAAGCTTAATTCGTCTTTTATATTTTCGACATTATCATCGAAACCTAAGAACTTTTCTCCCAACTTTAACTTATATTATTTATAAATGTATAGCAAAGGTCATTAGCAATTTAAAAAAAAAAAATTGCTTCACATTTCACGTGATACGCATTTCCAACTGATTGAATATTTTATTGCTGTAATTTGTTTTGTTGAAATTTGGATTTTAATTTTCTCAAAAAAGAGAGAATTGATAACAATATTCAGAATATAATTTCTGCAAAAAAAAAAAAAATTTCAAATAGAACTCCATTGCATAATGTTCACAATTAAAACAACATAAGGGATATAAAATAATAATAATAATAACTAAAATAATAAAAGAAGAGTAAATAAAAAAAATAGATTTCGTGAAATCAGTACAGTGCATAAAAATCTTATTTAACTATACCATAAAAATATGTTTAAAAAACAACAATAAATTTTTCATTCACAAAATAAAACAAAAAAATGACTTCCAAAAAACACTTTTGAATGTGGAGCTTACCATGGCTACACAAAGCCCAGTTATGAATCCTATAGAAAATGAATTGGATAGGCAAGTTTGGACACGCAAACTATTACCTGGCAGATACTTCAGGAGAAGTGGTTAAAGTTATATGTAATAAATATAAAAAATTGATTAATGTATGCTGCTTAATAGGATACTGTTATAGCTAGTAAAGGCAATAATATATAATATTAAAATGTCTTGTATATAGTTTTGGTTTTTAGATGAAATAAAAAAATTTTTATTTAAGGTATCTATGATAATCAATCTTTGAATATTTGCCTATTTGAATAGTATGATTTCCGTTATCATGTCGCATTCTTTCATTCTGCAATTATCATTGGAAACCGTTATGAAACACCCCTCGATTTATAACAATAAATAATAAACAAATATCTTTTATGAATGAGAAAAGGAAATATCTAAGCATAGCCTCACTTCCTTTCAATCTATCTAGCTCAAGTTACACGAACAAAAAATGGCGCAAACGATACGGAACCTTTGCAATAGTAAGGGACTCTACAATAATGGTAATCATCGTCTTTTTAGGTTTCATTTTTTGGTAACTTTCCAATGCTAATATATTTTGATAAAGGTTTGTGTGACCACATTCATTTTTTAAGAAAAATCTCATTTTTTTTTAAAGTCACCAAAATCTTAACCTATTCTATCTCTCTACATTCCCTTTAAAACAGCCAATAATAAGAAATTTCCATAAAACTTTGTTTAATTCCAAAGTTAATGAAGTTTTCGGTATTTTTACTGCCATTCTTTTCGCTGGTCCTGTAATATTCAACCATCAACTCTATGAGATCATTATTTGGTAAACAAAATACAATAATGCCTTATTATTTAAGTCGTTTATTTTAATTAATAATGAATAGAAATAAACAAAGTATATTGTTATTATCATGTACATTAATTTCATAATTCAAGATTTGATCTAATAACTCGAATTTCTTCTGTTTTTCGTATTAATTATTTTCTTCGAGTGAACAAATGAAACTTGAAAATTTCACAGGTTTTGTAAAATTCGTGGCGCAGTAATTTAATTTCGGAGAAACGCTCAATTTATTATACAAGTATTATTTGTTTACCAATGTTCTAACTCTGTAAGTAGATGATGATTAATCAAAGTTCAACAAGTTCGATGGCGGACATGAATAAATTTGAATATATTGCCAATTTTCGAAATTATGTTGTTTTTTTTGTAAATGCTTTTATTCAAATTATTATCAATTACAATCCAATGGAAAATATAAAGTTTTGTATATGAAATAAATAATTAAATTTATATTATCGAAACATATTCAATCGATTTTATATGATTTATGAAAATAAACTTTTCATCAAAAATTTGTTTATCTTTTCCATTTATTTATTATATACTGCATGTCCTATCATAATTACGATGATTTTCCGAACAAATATTCAAACTAAAACAAATGCAATGAGAAATAAACCCGTTAATGATCAATAAATAAATGAAGGATGCGTCATAATTAATTATTTACAATAGTATCGGATATTTATTTTTAATTTATTTTTAACTTTTTACAGACCCTTTCTGCTAAATATAAATAAATATATATATATGCAGTATAAAATTTTTTTTGATAAATAAAGTAGTACTATTTTTTTTATTTTTCACAAAAATTACATCTTTATTCTTTAGTTTTAAAATTTGCTAATATATAACTTTGAAAGAACAAAGTTTTCTCTTTTTTTAAGTCCATAAATCTCTAACTTTTAAAATGAAACAAATAACTCGATCGAAAAATTTCGTAATATTGTTTTTAATACAAATATTTTATTAATTCAATTATCAAACTCAAATTATCGTTCGTAAATCTTTATAATCTACGATATATCGAGAACTTTAAACATATGTTATAGATATTTTTGAAAAGTAACTTCATCCCTCTACATTCTAAATAAACCGCAAATACAAAACCTAACTTTAGGATCGCTTCATGTATTTCTCGTATCGATAACAAAGTGTCAATGTCATACTACTTTCATAGCAAAAAAATTTCCCAGATCGTCTGTACAAATAAATTTTTTACGTGATAAAATCTGTGATATACAATAAGTATTATTTGCGGTCTGAATAATTATATTTTTTGGTTAAATTTTTATGTAAAGTTTTTGAAAAAAATTTAGCAATTATATAATTACTAAGAGATTAAATACATAACTAATTTACATAAATACAGTACAACAATTAGATCTACATTACAGTATATTTATAAGTAAAGTATCATTAACGAAATAAAATTCTGTATAATTCTGTGCTCAAAGATTTATATCCTTAATATAATAAAATAATGTAATTTCAATAAGTAGAAGTATATATATTTTTAAATAAAAATAATTTAAATATAAAACATAATAGGTGCTAGAATATAACATAAAATAATGACTTAGTTTAAAAAGAAATTATTCAAGTATTGTGATAGATGAAGTTCGAGATTTTTTTCTTGATCAAATGTAAAAGCTAACTGTTCTTGTCCCATATTCTGTTCAATTTCAAAGCCGTGAAATTTTTTATTCAAATAATGATTAATAAGAGAAGGGGAAATTATTTCGCAAGATACCTGATATACTTGATCATTACATTGCTGTTGATAAAAGAAAACATATTCATTTTGTTTTAATTGCATTCCATTTTCCTTAAGTAAATTTAATAACTTTATAATGAGATCATTAGAGATTTTTTCACAACTAACATGATACTGATAATGTTCATTTGGTGGTCGATAAATAAACTTGTTGGAATGAACTGGTTGAATTTGTATTGGAGAATTTCCAAAAGAATTGGTTTGAAATGGCTGATAGCTTGATGCAGATTGCATTGAATTTTCTTGCTGCGGAGTGGTTGTCACATGACACATGTTCTCACTTGATGCATTTGAACTTTCGGTTACTTGTTCAAAATTCAATTGAGATGTGATGGTAATATTTGTTGGATTCATATTAGATCTAAAGATTTATTTCAATTAAATAAATCAAGTTGTTATATTATTTTTTAAAAAAGCTATTGCCCTTTTATATTAATTATATTTCTGGCAATCGAAAAAAAAGTTCTATCCAAAATATGAAAAAAGTACCAAGGTGAAAAAAAAAACTGGGGTATCCAAATATGATAATAATTTCCTATAAGGAAATAGGCGCAAATGTTTTTATTTTGTTGGATGTCGGGGATGTCGGTTTAATCGAATATACTTGTCGTACACTTTAAAAAAATTCATCGTACCGTGATACGAATTTCCTTTTTAGACGATCACGTGTAGTGACATTTCGTACACTTAATAATCTACTAAAAAAAAAAATTCGTCGTACACCTGCTTAATGGCAAAAAGCTTTGTTGTAAACTTACTTAATGATAAAAAAAAGGTTCATCGTACACTTTGAACCAAATTAAAAATTATTATGATATGTTTGTCGTACATTTTATGAATCATGAATAATAAAATTTTTGATAATTTCCTTAAACTGAAATTGGAATAAAGGTAAGAATCGAACTGTGCATATATTGATCTCTAATTTCCTTTTTGAAATTATATTTTCTTTGATTGGTGTGTGGCTTTTGATTATCAAAAAATTTTTGTTAACAATCTGTTTATATAAAAAGAATGAATATTCCCAAAATTTATTGCTAAAACATTCTTTTGAAAACCTAAAATATGGAATAATTTTAATGGTTTGTCTAATTTATTCGTTTAAAAAATCCACCTTGATTTATAGATATTTTTAGGATTTAAGACAATAGCTAATTTTAGTAACTACTCTCATTAATACATTTTGCAAATGTTAATGGTAATACTAGTAATTTGTTAAATGTTGATCATGAATCAACTGCTAGTTTTTGGACCAATTGAATTATATCTATAAAAATAATTTTCATGACTTAAACACGTCTCAACGAATATATCTTCGTTAGCAGCTAATATGAACGGTGAATTTCCAAAACAATACCAAGCAAAAAAAACTTTGTTCAATACAAACTTTATTTTTCCGAGACTATACAGTCTACTAAAAGTAAAGGGAAAGGAAAAGATGTAAGCCGTTCAGTTGTACCTGAAAAAAGAAAGGAACCAAAACCAGATGCTGTTCATGAAAAAGTAGATATTCTAAAGCAAAAAAAGCCAAAGTTGAAGGATATGCTACTTGATGAAAATTTCGAAAAGTTGGATGAAAAACATGTGTATTGTCATTATTGTGATATAGAAAATCAATCACCTTGCATCGACTTAATGATGGAGATCGCTTATGGACTCATCTTAATACTGCATTACATATTAATAACAAAGAAAAAGCTGACAAAAGTGTATCTAAAAAAGTACGAACAACATTTATTTCTCAATACGCTAATACTGATTATGACAATGATTCACAACACAATGATGATTTGCAATGCAATATCAATTCGCAGTACAAAGTTAACAATAAATATACTTTTTTAAAATTGTATAATAAATGCTAATATAATACCTTATTTATAAATTAGTTTGTAACGGATTTTTTCTTGTAATTATGCCGTATTAGCTAAATATGAAACAAAAGACAAAAATTATCAAATTTTACGAAATGATTCACTTTTTGATGGTGATGAAAGGGCTGAAGAATACTTTAAACATGACAACTGTAGAGGAAAAACTTATTCTCGATTTTGTTCGCCATGTGCATTTTTGGCTCATAATGAAGCTTTCAATAAAGTTAATCGCTGTATGCAAATCCTTATTGCTCAAATTGTTTGTTTGTTACTTCTTAAAGAAGGACAAGAAATTCCTCAAATTATAAGCAATCAGTTTAATCATAATTCAGATGCTATATGGCTTAAAATGAATTATCAATAGCTTTATAATTCTGTCATAAATACACTCAAACATCGACCTGGATCGGCTACATCTGATGCTCTCAAAATCTTCTTAATTATGTTACACTTGAACTTAAAGATTATTCTTATCATTCACTTGTCGAATCATATCCAGCACTTGGTCAAATTCTGAAGGCTGTTGAAGCAAATGGACTTGAAGATTGGATTGGAAAATATACAGCATTTATGATTGATAAAACTATGGATGAGCAACGCCCAGTATTTTTTAGTACAGTTGAACCTCACTATAACGAATTTCTATATTCTGAATTTTATGAGTGGTCCCAAATTTTATTAAATAAAATAATTGAATATAACGAATTTTTATAATCAAATTTACTATTATGTATAACGAATTGAAAATCCTGTACCAAGTATAATAAAAGAAATAAAGTTTTTTATATAATGAATTTTTATATTAAATTTAAGGTATATAACGAATTTTTTTCTTGTATATACTATTAAAGAAATGTTACATTATAAATTTTAATAAAGAATAATTTAATAATTTAAATATTCGCAAGAGTATAAAGAGTATAATAAAATATGTAAAATTATTTAATAAACTTTTATAGGGATTAATTAGCGTTGAATCACGAATTAATTAGTGTCAAACTTGAGATTAATCAGTGTTGAATCAGTGATGATTAATTAGTTGATTTAATTTCCATAATTCAAATTTGATATTACTGAAAATTTCAATTGCGAAACTGTGAAAACTGTGTAAATTTAAAATTACGAAAATTTTTAATTGCAAAAATGTGAATGCAATTGTAATATTTGTTGTTATTTATTGTTATTACTTATTTAAGATATTTTGAATAAATAAGAACACATTTGTCAAAACAAATGTAAAACCTATATAATAAAGCAGAGTTCATAGGAATGGTAGTCAGAGGCGTAGTAGTAAAATATAAGTATTTTTTTGTGTAATTTTCATAAAATTCAAAGACACTTTTGTTTCTAATAATACTAACTCAATTTTTATTCATTTGTTATGTTTAAATATTCATTGGAAAAAGAATAAAATTATGAATGATATAATTTATTATTATTTTAAAAATTAATAATTGATTTTTTTTTTTTTTTAAGACGCGGTGAAGCCAATATTTATTAAGATTTCAGATTCAAAATACAAAGTAAAAAGAAAATCCCAAGAAGGGTATAAAAGTAGAAAAAATAAAATAAAGCTGCTTAGCCTTCCTTGAAGGAAAAAAAACCAACTCCAACCAAACTAACCAGTTGTCTCATCATGTTCAATTCCAACTACGTAGAGGAGAAAAATCAGTATATAACAAAAACTTCATTTGAGACAACTAGTTTTCACTGCGTTAAAAAGAGGCCAGAATCTGCTATGAATAAATGAATTAGAAAAGAGAGTTAGATGGTTCATATTGTTTTCAGTATTAAGTATTGCACGCGTTGAAGAGATAATAGTATTATGATTTGATTTATTACGCTTTTTCTTATTTGTTATATAGGGGCAGTCAGTAGAAAAGGGGAAAATCCAAATTTTGGTCAAAATTTATATTATTGGACCACTTGGCTGATCTCAGTTATTTGCATAAAATTAGCTTAATAATTAAAATTAACAAAAATTTTGGATTTCCTCCTTTTCTACTGACTACCTCCCATATGTTAGGTGAGTTCTTTGATAACAGTTAAAGCACATCTGGATTTTTAAATTAAAAGAATAACCTGATCAATGATTAGGTCATAAAAAGAAGATAGTATAGCTAAAGATTTTTTTTGATATTTGGTAAAGTTATTAATGAGATAATAAAAGTTAGAGGGGACTATGCCTTTGAGAAGATCGATAGAGAAAGGAGAGGAAGGGGACAAATTCCAATAAAAATGTGAAGTATCGAATAAATATTGTAGTTAAGATTGCTTGTCTAAACTCATTTGGATTTAGCAAAATGGTTAAACCTTTAGTTTTGCTAAATTTTTACTAAGTGTTTGATATAGTTTCGCTATTTTTATATATAAGCTTTGATATAGTTTTACTTTTTTCCAAATTTTGCAGATTTTTTAATAAGATTTTAATATAATTTAACCAAGTTTTACTTTTACTATTTAGACATCTGTTTAAACTCTTGATTTTGTCTAGCAACCTTAATTGTAGTTCAATTATAATATTGATGATAGGACGAGATTCTGAACAGTTCCAGATATGATTGAATATTTCATCTAATGAATTACAGCAACAACACTTCCAGCTTGATTTATATATATTAGAAGAGATGAGTTTGAGAAATTCTAGAATAGATAGTTGTTCGAGAAGCAGTATGTATCTTCATTTGTAATAAAAAGATTCTTTGTAAGAAGTTGTGTTATTTGTGTTATGATTAATAAGGTTGAAAGTGCATAACCAATTTACTGGTTTGCTTTTGTATAGGTTGTTTCTTTAAAGGTTGTAAAAGTTAGTGAAAGATTTGGAGTTAATGTAGTCTTTGAAAAAGGGTCATATTTCTTTGATAATAGAATTTGATTGGAAGGTCAGAATGAAGAAAAGGAAAGGAACATGAGAAAAGAAGAGAGAAATAGAAGAGTCATGAAAAACAGATTTAGCTAAATTGTCAACTTTTTCATTAAAAGGATTATCAGAATGTTCTTTAACTTTGGTCAAGGATAAGGCAATTTGTTTTTGCTCGAGTAGTTTGAATATAAAACATCAGTATATATAGAAAGGAGTTTTAAATAATAGGAATGGATAAAGACAAACATTATTTTGTAAAATTTTATTGTAAGATAAAATCATAGATAAACTATCTGTATAAACTTTAACTGTAGAACCATAAGAACAAATAAAAAGAGTCATTAGGAAAGTGAAAATTTCAGCATTAGTAGAGTTGGCTCAAAGAGAAGCAAAGTAGCAGCGAAACAAATATCTAAAGTATCATGAACTAAAATAAAAGCAGAACTAATAAAAGTTTGTAAAGGAGATAAAGAAAATTGATGAAAACTATCATTATAAAATTCTAAATTATTTTCATTAAATAAAGAAACTCTATGATTGTTTAGGACAGTTATGCAATCGTGATAAATAAATAAACTTTCTATAGTTAGAATACTATTATCAGGATTAATATGATTAGGTAAAATGTTTGGAGTAGTAATGGAATGAATCGTGCAGAATTTAGCAACAGCTTGATCTATAAAGGACCAAAAGGATCTTTTGGGAACATATAAGTTTTTAGTATTGCTTTGAACCAAAGAAGAAATAGAAATTAGGTTCAGAAGTAACAGATTAATAAACTGAGCATAAGACAACTTTTTAAATTTCAGCTTGATATTGTATTTTTTCTGATTCTTGTTAAAAGAGCAACCAGAGCATGGTGCCAAAATGGCATTTCTTTTAGAAGGAAATAAGGATCATTAGTTGGATTAGTTAAAATGAAATGTTGAAAAAGACAAGGTGAAGCTGGTGATTCCAGTTTGAACACTTTTCCAAATATAAATGAGCTCGGAATGGGGAATTTATAGATGTTGATTCAGGAAGGGTTCAAATATTAGCCCATCTGGTATTCCATTTAAAGTCTTCAATTGATGAAGAAGAGGAGTAATTGGTAAAAACTTGGGTCTCAAAACAAAATTCTGGTTTGACCAGATTAGAAAGAACTATCTTTTGTAATAGCTTGAACCAACGTGTGGTGATCTTATTGAAATTAGCTAAAAAATAAGATTGTAGTTGTATATCATGATAATTAAATAGAAATCTACTAGTAGCAATTACTTGTGATAGGAATAGAATATTTTTCGATCTAATATTTTTTATATTATATGTGTTTTAAGGCATAATCATCTGAAGAGAAACTAATCCTCCTGTAACTCGAAAGAGAACAATCATTCTTGAGGAATTGATAAAAGAGAAATTAAAGTCATGGTAGGTAGTGATAAAATTGGAAAGGAAATTTATATGTCTAAAGTACTTGAGGGATTTAGGCTAACAGACCATAGGATTATTATATAGCCAAAAATTATATTGGAGTTATTTTAGTTTGATAATTCCAAGATCGTATTATCAGGATGAGAGTTAATGATGTTGATAAATTATTGTGAGATTGATGATAGATCATTAAAGCCATAAGTAAGATTGTTGTAAATAATTGAATTTGGCATGCTGCGTCTAAGTCCTAATATATTTTTAATGAGCTTCCTCATAGGTTTGTATAAGAAATCACAATCGAGTTCAGAGAGGATAGTTAGTTTGGATCTGTATTCTAGTCGATATATAAGAAACATATTATTCAGATAGCGAAGTTATTTATTAGTTAGAGATTTGAATTTGAATCTATCCCTAAAAGAGGTAATTTCAGAAGAAATTTGATATTTGATGAAGTTTTTGTTGTATTGAGCAAATATCCAAACGTTCAAATATCTAGTTAAGTCTTTAGGAGAAATAGTTTAGCATTTGAATGAAGAATTGTTTGAAGAATATCTAAATATTATTGATTCTGTGTTATCATGATCTGTGATAAGGTAAGACTTATCAAAATTAACTTTCATGGAGTTCAGCTCGTAAAAGGTCAGAGTAATGTTTAAAATACTAGTTATTTGATCGTAGCTATTAGTGATCCAAATGGTATCATCTATATAGGCGAGGACAGGAATAGTGATATTGAGCAATTTGGTTGAAGATTCGTTGAGATCAGAAGTCCATTCAGTAGACATGTTAAAACTGAGTTCAGATTTTTTAATTCAATCAAATAAAGGATCGTAATAAATAACCCATAATAGAGGTGAAATTACTTCTCCCTAGTCAATTCCAACAAGAATGTCAAAGGGATCGGTAAGACCAAAGTCAGTAAAGATCTTATTAGTTCGATTAAGAAACAATCTAATTATTAAATCTATGAGGGTGTTGGGAAATTTTAATCTAGCGTAAGGCTTTTTTTAACATAAAATATTAACCTGATCGTAAGCCTTAGATATATCTTGAAAAAGAATGTGTAAATCTTTTTTGTAAGAAATATCAGTTTCTTTTTTAAAATGGTGGTATTTCAGCAAATTGTTAATTATGTGAAGAGGTTCCATTGTGGATTGATGTGAAAGGCCTGCAAAATTTAAACCTGATAGAACATTAGTATTTATTAGCACTTTTGAAGTTTAGTGTTAAGAATCTTAGTAAAAAAGCTTTGCGAATAGATTCTAGGAAAATAATAAGTCTAGTATTATTAAGATTACAGTTCTATGGCTTAGGTTTAGGTATGGGGTAT